AGGGATATTTTTTAAAACTTACAATTAAATTTAGTATTTTATTTCGGTATATTATTTATTTTAATTTGTAAATTAATTAAGTAAATACATTTAATATTATTAATTTCATATAAATTAAAAAAATTAATAATTTTAATAACACATCAAATTATATAAAAAAATTATTCCTATATCACCACCATATCCTGCCTCAGGAAAGAAAAAGGGAAGGTAGTATCTGGGCCAACTATTTAATAATTAATATACCCCACCACAGTCATATTTCTATTTACCACTCGATTTAGACCTGACTTTCTGGAGTATATGACTCTGACTCCAGACCATCATGTTTATTATGGATGCATTCAAGTTGCTACATCAACCATTCGATGATTAGAAAGGAGGCCAACGAGTTCTATACCTGCGTGTATACAAGCACCAACAACGAGGAAAGTGTATCCCAAGCTCAGTAGCAGAGAAACAAGGTTGATGTGCCTAAGGGAGTGAAAAGTTGGAAACTGAGACAGAAGTATCATGACCACAGTCACCATTGCAATAAATTCGTACAGCTTCAAGGATCCATTGGGAGCTAGGTTTGAATACATGATCTATTTCACAACCAAAGAGGAAAATGAATAATTAGTACCATACTACAGATGCAACAATCGTTACCGGTAATCATTCAAGCAGGCATAACAAAAGATATATAAGCAAAGGAAGCCATCCAAAAAGGTCAAATATTATTTTCTACACGAAGAGATTGTCCATTTTAGTTAACTATATAAACTATTTGCGCGAAGCTGTACTATATCTTGTTGTTTAGACTTGTCTAAGTAAACATAGAACAATTAATTGTGTAATAATGGCAAAGGTTCTCCCTTCTCAGTAGCATCACATCAATCATGTAAATTATTTCGTTTCATCTGCTTTTTCGGTTCCATTTTTAATTTTACCCAAGCATCTTGCTTTGGCATATCTAAAATTAATAAATTACTTCACTTTTTAAACCTAACTGAAAATGATTTATCAACTAATTAACTCGTCATTCACACTTGGGCAATAAATATCATTATCCTTGGAAAATTAAAGAGTAGGGTCTTTTTCAAAGTTTTAAACCCGCACCAAGCCACCAAACCACAAAAAGGGCAGCAGCCGTCCACATTTCCCATTTGCTATGGTCATCATAACGCAAAGACTAGGATTGCCAACACAAGAAGCAATACTACAGGGAATTGAAGTTAATAGATGGAGGGCAAATGGAATGTACCTGAAGGCATTCCCCTGCAAGCAAAATTGCTCCAATTCCAACCCCAGTGTTGATAGCCGTTTGAATGAATATTACGAAATAAAACATCCATCCAGACCCTGTAAGAAAACATTAACCGCAGACTTTAAGACCCAGCAATTTTCTCAATATATGTACTACTATTACCTTTTCCTTCTCCAAATGTCACCCCTAAAATTCTAATCATGAGAACATCTCCTAGGTGATAACTCTGTTAGCCAACAAAAGTGAGTGTTTCTTACAGTCTTTTGTCAACTAATTTTTTTTTTTTTTAATGAAGTCATAGAATTAGAAACGGAAAAAATTACTATTAAAAAAGAAAGGAAAAAAAATTGACGATGTTATAAAGGAAAAGAAATGTATGTAATAATTAAGGCCTTTTTAATTAATTTTTAAAAAATTTTATATTAAATTTATTTTTTTATAAATTTTAAATATAAATATTTTATTTTATTTATTTTTACATTTTATATTATATTTTATTTACATTTTATATAAAAAATTATATAAAATTAATTATAAATATTATAATTACTGAGATTAAATCTTATTTAAAACTATAAATTAAAAATTTTTGATAAAAAAATTTAAAACTAAGAAAAATTTTAAAAAAAATATATAGAGGGGCAGATGAGGATGGGATCACTTCAAAAGGAAAAACAAATAGTACTACGAAGTACGAACTGTAGTTGCCAACTGGCGTTTAAAATGCAAGCGTCTAAAATGGTACATTAACTTTTCTTTTTAAGTAAGTACAAATTTTAGGAAAAGACGCATCCGGCCCTTTGGGCCAAGTGGTCTCCGATCACCTGATGCATTTCCCCCACCATTTGATGCATTTCCCTCACCCTGCCCAGGGTTCAACCGCGTCCCATGTAATATTGTTAAAAAAAAAAAAAAAATTTAGGAAAAGACAAAGGATTTGAACCACTAACTATTGTACCGGCAGAAGTGCTCCTTCGGTTGGCTATTTTCCTGTCAATCCAAAGTACAAGTGTAAAATTTGACACTACCATCTATTTTTAAATTATAATTGTACTATTGTTTTATTTATGTTAAATATAAAATATTTTTTTAATTTTTTTATATAAATTAGTAAAGGAAAAAAATAAAAATCATATTA